TACATACACTCAAAATCGTGTCAACATAAAGCGACTATGGCCCACCTTGCTAGCACCAATCTTAATATTTATCCGTGTAGTCGTCGGAGCCGTGCACCAACCGAAAGCGTTGCCGCAAGCCCTTCCGCCGTCAACTTTGAATCGCTGTTGAGTCTGAAGAACTGCTCTATGAGGTCCATATCCAGCCACTGAGCACATACACAAGCACAGGAAATAATACTCGGTTCCAAGTACAAGCGAAGAACCCGGGGCGGAAAGCCCTGAATGCCGAACGATCAGCGTCGGGCGACGGCGGCTGACTGCGTAGTACACAGGTTGCGCTCCTTCGACGCCTGCATCGCTGCGGCGGGTAATCGTAGCTGGTCGTAGCAGATCGTGTCACCTCTGTTGCTCGTACCGAAACACTAGAGCCGCGTAATATTCTTGCTGCCGAAGTTTATAAGCCTACGTTCGCGGCCAACGCATATACACAAAGCCACCGCCCAGCGAACCTATCCCCCTCGTTCTCTTTCGGCGACCGGCCGCCAGGGCGGTGACACCGTCGCTGAAACTCCTCAATAACTGACGTAACGAGCACTTGACGAGCGGTTGGCGCATAAGTCGTCTTTATGCATTTTTTTTTTATACGTGGTGCAAAGTAATCTTGCCCCTTATTTTTATGGCGTCAGGAACGAAGCAGCATAGAAAGAGTACCCTTCAAACGACAATAATAATAATAATTAAAAACTGCCGGATCTCCGCTGGAGACTCCGAGGCACAGAAGAGTAGTCGTCACGATAAAAAATCTAAAGAAACAAAATAAATAGCCTAACGGTCGTCGGCTGCGTCATAAGGCCTCGCCAAGTGCGGAGTATAACGGTCTTGGCATACGGTATGTATTGTGCATTCGTTATTTTCTTTTCTTTTCTACCACGTCAAATTCTGACGCCAAGACTCTCTACCTCCTCCGTTCCAACGCGTTGTTTGTTATTATTTGAACAAATCAGCTCCAAATAAGGGTCGTGGCACCCAGTAGAGTAAGAAAAAGAATAAAAAAGGAATATTCCGAGCAGCCAGAGCAGCACGGCTGCTCTGCCGCTCTGGCCAGAGCAGCTCCTCTCATCAAAGAAGACGCCGTCCGAAACTCCAACGGCTCCCTTCTTATTTTTTTATTTTTATTTTTGTTCACTTTGTTACTTCATTTTGTTGTTGGGTTCGACTGCTCCCTTCTTTGTGACGATGCCGTCCGTGGACAAACGTTTGGCGTTTTTTTTTTTTTTTTTTTGTCACGCGATGGTGTGGTCCGACAGGTCAACCAATGAGTTTGTTAGAATTGTGTCACGAGGTATAAAATGGCGGATGAAATAAATATAATAAATGCAAAGAAGCGCGCAGTTCCCCTTCGGCTCTTTATTCTTGCAGAGGCGAGCATCGCAGTGCCATGGCGTTCAACTTGTGCCGTCTTCTTGGCGCCATGAAAGACCCTCTTGAAGCAATTAATTTGCTTTAGCGCGTTGGCCTGCTCCTGGCTCCTGGGTTTTCGTGCGTGTCCAGAGTGCGAAGCTGCGATGACAAGCTGCAAGTCCGCGCTAGATCTGCGGATGGCTACACGGGGGGGGGGGGGGGGGGGGGGGGGTGCGGTGTGTGGATGACTCGTGAGGTGCCCAAGAGGAAGCCGGTCAAAGTTCAGTGCCGGGGCGATGTCTCGGAACGGAGCGGTTCCTTTTTCGAAGGATCGCACGCACCTGACGCTTGTCCAACTCATGAAAATCATCCTCCGGATGCCCGAACCTACCGTGCGCCGTCATTCAGCGGGAGGCTGATATCGCAAGTAAGACAATAACTGATTGGGCGAGCCTTTGTCGGGAGGTTGTGGTAAATGCCGTCTTTAAGCATTCAGACATGATTGGTGGCGAAGGCGTGACTGTAGAACTAGACGAGAGTATGATCGGTCGGCACAAGTACCATCGCGGGTATTTAAGGCCTGGCCAGTGGGTTTTCGGCGGTGTGGCGCGTTGCAGCGGGTGCTGCTTTTTTGTTCCCGTGGAGATCCGTGACGCTAAAACCCTGCAAGGGCTAAGCGCCAAGTGGGTCCGCCCTGGAACAAGAATAATCACTGATTGTTGGGCTGGCTATCGCAAGCTTGCAGATGACGCTCGCTTCACGCACCTCACCGTTAACCACAAGCTGCACTTTGTCGACCCGAACACTGGTGCGGGGCACCTGGGCCCACGTCAAAAACTCTCTTCCACCTGGACGGCGCGAGAGCCACCATCTCACTGGTCACCTTGCAAAGTTCATGTTTTGGAGGAGAGAGAAGGCGCGCGGAAACACTGATAGATTCCAGTCGTTCGTCGGCGCGGCCGCCAAAATCTAGAGCCCCGACGCAGACAGGGCGAGGATTCTGACGGCCCCGGTGACTTCGAGGGATCCGCTGCGCTGAGCCCGTCACCCGCCTGCGTGCATAAAGACGACTTATGCGCCAACCGCTCGTCAAGTGCTCGTTACGTCAGTTATAGGTTCTGGTAGCGGTCTCAACGGTCCTTTTCAGGGCCCCCATATTTTGCAAACGGAGCTGTGTTTTGAATGCGGCACCCCGTGTCTCTGTAAAAAGTTCACAGTAAAGACCCAGCAAAGGTATGTGGTCCCCAACTTGGATATCGGGTGTTATGATTCAAATAAAAATTGTTCTTGCTTATTTCGCGCCTTTGATCCCAATAAATGCCGCCGTTGCAGTCGTCCCGCGGTGCTGTTGCTCGCCCATTCGCCATCGGCGTGTCTCAGCTTCGTTGTCTTTGCTAGCGGCGCACCGGCGAAGGCGGCCTTTGATCCGAATAAATGCCGCCGTTGCAGTCGTCCCGTGGTGTTGTTGCTTGCTCGATCGCCGTCGGCGTGTCTCAGCTTCGTCGTCTTTGCTAGCGGCGCACCGGCGGAGGCGGTTGATCTGACACACCGCGTTCGGCTTTGGCTAGTAGACGGCGTTCGTAAAATGGCGTCAGCTGTTGCTGGCTTCACGCGGCGGTACCGTGCGTGCTTCTATTCATTCGGCGTTCGTTGCCATGGTGACGGCGAGGAAAGCAGACGAACTTTTTGGTGCGGAAGAACGCTGCGGCGCAGCGATACCAGGCGCGTTCTAAGGCCCTTGCCGCATGCTTTTCAATGGGCGGAAGGCGAACAAAAAGAGTTCGAAATAAGGACTTAACGCAGAAGGCTGCATTTCTCCAGCGCCTCATAATTTGACGAACCTTTCACGAAAAGCATGTTTTTTTGGCCATCCCGCGTGCTGTTTTTTTTATCCGGAACATGGGTCTAAAGTATCAAACTGCCGGTAGCGTACGGCGTGCAGCTTTAAAAAGGGTCTATTGAGGGACTACGTAGAAACACGCGCTAAACACTCCCTTCGGAGACATGTTCCTGGCATTGTAAAAACCAGTCGGCCGTTAAGTGAGACTATTAGCGGTGAGATATTTTGGTGGCGCCCTCCTGTAGTTCCCTCTTGTGACGTCATTATCTTGCGAACAACAAGTTGGATGGTGATTGTAATTAACATGATGGAAGCCTGAAATCATTGTACTCTGAAACCAACACTGCTAACACCGCCAAAATTAAAGTTCTTTCATTACTCTTATTTCCGTCGATGAGCAATCCTTTTCTGACGTCATAGCCAGCATTCGGCCAATCGTGAAAGGCCGACCACAGCGACACTTTCGATCGCGCACGTCGCCAATAGGGAGTATTCACTGGCGGCCATAGCTGTGTGCGCGAATGCTGAGCGCGTGCTGACTGCGAGCTTCGACAGTTCTTTTGCAGCGTGCATTCCGCACCACCAAGAGTGCCGGTCTTAGCAGCCTATTGATGTGAGCTCGTTCTAAGCATGCGCTCTAAACAGCACCCACAAATATGGCGTCCAGTGAATACTCCCTATAAGGAGTATTCACTGGGCGCCATATTTGTGGGTAATGTCTAGAGCGCATGCTCTGAACGAGCCCACATTACTAGGCTGTAAAGGTCGGCAATCTTGAGGGTGCGAAATGCACGTTACAAAAGAACTGTGGAAGCTCGTCATCAGCACGCGCTCAGCAGTCGCGCACACGGATATGGCCGCCAGTGAATACTTCCTATAGAGTGTATACTTAATGGACGCCATTTTTGAGGACGGTGTTTAGACCGCATGCTCAAAACGAGCTCACATCAAGTAGGCTGCTAAGACCGGCAATCTTGATGGAGCGGAGTGCATGTTGGAAAAAAACTGTGGAAGTTCGCCGTCAGCACGCCCTCAGCAGTCGCCCACACAACTATGGCCTCCAGCGAATACTCCCTATGAGGAGATATCAAGGAACGCGGTTTCATTTCTGCCAAGCCGTGTTCCACCATGTTGATGAACAGCGTCTGTCACTTTCCTTCTTAGTTTGCACGCAGACATTTATTGGAACATAGTAAGTACGACCGGGGATGTATAGGGAGTATTCACTGGCGGCCATAGCTGTGTGCGCGAATGTTGAGCGCGTGCTGATGGCGAGCTTCCACAGTTATTTTGCAACGTGCATTCCGCACCATCGAGAGTGCCGGACTTCGCAGCCTATTGATGTGAGCTCCTTCTGAGCATGCGCTCTAAACAGCACCCACAAATATGGCGTACAGTGAATACTCCCTATATAAGGTGACAAAAACTTACGCTTACTCCGTTATTCTTTTTTTTCGGATTCGCTCCAGCAGCATTCATTGCGGCCATTATGGCCACCAACGGGTCTACTTTTTGATCGCCGCCTCGTGTTTAGTTCGAATTAAGGCTGGAGCGTGTGAATGAAAATCGTGACCAGCCATTGTCCTTTTATGTTCCCGGCTACTTTGGCTGGCTAAGTTGATCACGACATAATATAACTCGAGCGAGCTAGAGAACTCCGTCTCCTCGCATACAAAGGCATAAGGCGAAAGCGCATCAACATGGCGTCCGGGGAGATTCCCAGCCGGAACCGTGCTATTCCTTACCTCGCTGTTCACACGAGAAACACGGACCCCAGGAACTGGAGCGCAAGGGACAAACGGCCGAGAATGCGGCCCTGCTGCTCATGACGGATGGCGAGGAGAACGAGCCGCCTTACATCAACGACGTGCTGCCCACGCTGCTCCAGAAGCGCGTGCGCGTCTTCTCCGTGCCCGTGGGTAAGGAGGCCGACGACGGGCTCAGGGTCCTCTCGGAGCGCACCGGGGAGAACGTCTACCCGATCACCAACACCACCAAGCTGGCCGACAGGCTGGCCGAGATGTTCGCCGCCGTCATCACCACTCAGCAGGAGAAGAGCGAGCGTCGGGAGACGGTGAGGCTCAGACTCGGGCGGATACCGTAGAATCTCGAATCAACAACAGCATCATCATCATCATATTTTTTAGGGATAATCACAACATGAACACGATATTAAAAAGCCCGCCCATAGGTGGAACGATAAGAGAAAAAAAAATGAGGGGTGAGCGATCTTTTGGCAGTTGGTGTACTCTCGGGATTTTACGGCATATAAATACAGAGATGGCTAAAAATTTAAAAAAATTAATTAAAATAGAGTACTAATTACTTTTTTGAAAACTACGAGAATTTAATTTAATTTGATTACAAATTACCGCAGGCGAAAAGCAATGCCATTACATTACAATTGCTTTCTGAAAGTGACGAAATTACCTCGACATTAACTTTTCAATACCTTGAGGCAGCAATACTTCCTCATTTTATTTAGAGTGCATGTACCGGAACATATATATTCGTGTTTACACTGCAAGAGCCTTAATCCAACGTCACACTGCTCATTCACCATACAAAGTACCGTCTGCCAACACGAGTCACCGCAATATCGGGGGTTCGAATGCTGCGTGCCAAGTTTTTTCCTTGAATACATTGCCATGCGGCATTCGAAGCACGGATCTCGTGGCGACTCGTGTTCCAGTCTCTATGCAGAATTTATTTTGCATGATGTATAAGCAATACGAACCCCGGCTTTATGCGCCTCACAGTTAACCATACTGAACAATCGTTTCGCTGGCGCACACGACTCAGGTGTTAAACAGAATGAATAGCTTCTTATCTTGATCTGACAGAAAGACAGCCGACTCACCGCTTTTATAGGTTATTAAATGGTGAAGGTCCTTAGTTAAAGGACCGTCTTCCTGATTATGAAAAAGTTGAAGTCCGTGTCAGTAAGTTAAGTCGGGCCATGGCAGCTCGTTCTTTCAAGAATTTGGCACGTGGAACATATTCCTTCAGACTCGAACGTAATCTAATCTTATTATTCCCAAGATCACTAGCTGACGCATTCCCGGTCACTTTCTTGAGAAGTATTTTTCCCCAAAAAAACTAAGACCCGAATTTATTGCGCGGTGTCACACATGGGTGCTTGATGTTTACTAGGCAGGAGCATCGCCAGTTGAGGGAAGGGATGGCGTGAGCTTCCTAAAATATGTACTTTCCCATAAAACGGGTGGCGATATCTGCTCGATTGCTTATTCCCGAATTAACTCCTCAGGGAGAGGCATAGGGGCATACCGCGGGCGGCATCTGCTTTACTCAATTCTCGTATTTTCCGACTTGAAAAAGCACCTTTACATAAAAGGGCCAGGGATACGCACGAAACGTTCTGGGGCCTTGTCAAGGCATTTGGGATTCACTATATATTTCGGTCGTTTGTTGTTCACGATATTCGAAGCTCACGGTTTGAGCTTGTATGAAGAAAGAGCAAGAAGGCTGGGGATCTGCCCGTCCTGTCCTCTCAGGTTTAAAATTGTATTGACTTTACTGGTGATGTGCCCTTCGCATTGTAATATATAAGCAGTTCACCCCTAAACGGACAGTGCAAGCTACGTGCTCCTTGGAACAGCCACACGTCTATATTTCGCCAGGTAATCACGCTCTCGTTCATACCCACGCGCAGTGAAGGGGACGGGATGGGTCGGGTGATGAAAGGACGATGGCTGACTGGTTCCGGTGAGCTCGTAGCTCGCGCTGCAGCTTAGTGACGAACGAAGCGTAGTTTCGTCGTGTTGACGTGACGCTGTGGATCTGTCTTGCTTGAAGTTCGTTAGCTGTGGCCTTACAGCGAAGCTTTTCTCCGACTTCTTCACCTTTCCAGTCAGCCTTTCTGCGTCTGTCATGTTCTTCGTACGAGGCTTTGCATTCAGATGGCCGTATTTTATTTACTCTGATACCGCTTTCAGAAAATGTCACCATGCAAAATAATTTTGCTCGTTTTTCCTAAAGCTGAGATTTGGGGCAAAGTAATTTCAAAAGTAACGAGTAATAGTCTCGAAATTACTGCCTGTAATTCATTACAGTACTAAGTTACCAGGCCAGAAATGTAATTCTCATTACAACGTGACGTAATTTAATGACCGTAATTTGATTACAGTAATGTCAAAACTGCCATCTCTGAATAGAATAATTGAATGCCGTCAGAGTACTGAAGCTTACGATTTTACGGCAAGAGTCGTTTCCGTGGTTTTTCGAGGGACCGCGGGGGTTGTTTCGCGTAGGTCGTTGGTGGGTAATGTCATTGATAAATTTAGCGGGAAAGTTTCCGATAAATTTGACACTGCGACTTCACAGTGTCACTTGACACGGGGACGTAATATTATGTTGTCACGGCACGTGATACCATTACATCACGTGGCACCATGACGTGACGTTACGTCACGGTGAGGGTTCAATGGGATCAGTCTGTGCGCGAAAGTGCGAACAGCAGAGTCTGCAGCGCCTCGGCTGTCGACGCAGTTCTTTTGTAGGACATGGCAGGAGCCAGGAACTTTTGGTGTCGGAACTGCGCCGCGGTGCTGAAATACGGCTACAATATGGCGGCCTAGTGCAATCGAATCGGACTAAGGCAGGAAAGCTTACAACAGAGGCAGTTCGCGTGCGACTCTGGCCCTGCTGCAGGGGATTATATTACCTTAATCTAATCTTCGTCTCTCAAGGATTAGAGTACAGTCCACTCAATGTGGAAAGCCCTAGAGAAACCAACACACCTATCATGATCTCTCAAGCTGTAATTGCTTAACTGTATTCTGATCATCCGCTAACTCGCCCAACTACACCACTTGCTTCGTGCTTGCCTCTGCACAGGTCTTCAAGCGAGCGGTGCCCCTGACCAGTGCGAGGACCTCCATGGACGTGATGGTGGACAAGGAGCTGGGCCTCAACACCATGTTCATCGCCACCGGGGCACCCGAAGACACGACGGCCATGATGGCGGTGAGCCCCACAGGAAGGGAGATCCTCGCGCAGTACGACTACGATCTGCAGAGGCACAAGGTCGTCGTCCCCAACCACGAGGTATGTCCAGGGCACGGCGCTTAAAATGCGCTTAGGACTGGTAAGTAACGAGCTATAGGTCACGCGTTACTTTCCACTTTAACATAGCGAATGCTGGAGAGGATGTGAGTTCCTTCTTGCCTCCTCTCCAGCGTTCGCTCAGCTAAAGTGTAAAGAGTGGAGGGCTTTGCGGGAGGGGCAAGTTCTGCACTCTTAACCTGTCATCCACTATAATTAATTTTATAGGAATAAAGGGGAGAAACGAGTGATGCATTTTTTGTTACTTTTTGATGGAGTAACGAGTAAAGGTATTTAGTTAGTTCTGGAGATGAACATGCAGGACACAAGATACCGTATTTGTTTTTCACTCCTGCTAGCACCTGTGACCTTCATGGCAAAGAAAAAAGTGCCGACAAGAATATACAAGAAATGTCATTGAATGCGTTAAAAAGCGAAGCATTATTAACGATACAAAACAATAAAAGGCGGCTGCGGCTTCACACAAAGAAAAAAGGCAACGTAATTCAGAATAATGATGAAGTAGCTAGTTACTTTTGAGCTAAAGTGGCAAGTTTCTTTTGACTCTCAGCAACTAGTAACGCACTCAGTGACCCTTTGACTTATTAACGTGTAACGCTATTTGTATTACTTCTATTTGAACGTGTACATGTCTGGTTAGGAGCGGTATTTTTTAAGTAGAAATATAAAGTATCCTAACTTTAGCCGAACATAACATTGCCGAGCCTAGCCTAGCGGCTAACCTATCCTTCTATAGTCGGTGACAGATTAAGAGTAAAGTGGAAGCCCCTCCCACCTCTTTCCACTTCAGCAGAGCAAGCGCTGGAGATGAGGCGTTCCCTCTTCAGCGTTTGCTCTGCCGAAGTGGAAAGAGGTGGGTGTAGCTTCCACCTTACTCTTAACCTGTCACCGGCTATAGACAGCCGACCATCTTATTTTTTCCCTTTTCCTTGTTGTGTCAATGTGCGTTCCCGTGGGCCTCCCAGACAGGCAGGTGGCGGGTGGTGCTCATCAGCCATCCGGTCAACCGGGTGGACGACACGGTCACCGTGACGGTCACCTCCGAAGCCCGCGACCCCGACGTGCAACCCGTGCGCATGCGATCCTTCTTTAGCAGCCGCAGCCTCGAGTCCGTCGGCTCGTCCACCCTGTTCAAGATCTACGCCGAGCTGCGCAAGGAGAACGTGCCCGTGGTCGGAGCCAAGGTCCTGGCCACGGTCACCACTCCTCTCGGGAACCAGGTGTACGTCCCGCTCAAGGACAGGGGTGACGGTGAGCTGATTACCCCTAGCGCTTACCATCAACTTTTCCGTGCATCGCTGGCAACGGTACCTTACTTCTGCAGTGCTTACAGCCTTGCAGCAACAGACAACAAATCTTTGGGGCTTAGTTATTTAAATAGTCATTTTTGACATCACTTCCCGTGATTCGGGCTCAGAATCTCCCCGGACGCCATGTTGATGAATTTTCGAACTATGTGTTTTTATGCACGGAGGCGATGTTTTCCAGCTGGACCGAGCTTTTTTTTTTCTTTTTTTTGTCATGACCGACTACACATGCCGGATTAATTCGCAATACAAAGGAGCATCATCTGTACCCGAAGCTATATACATGCTGGTTGTTATTAGTGCTTAAGGCGAGCCGGCGATTGAGGAGTCGACCAGGTGGCGGTCATAAAGACTCCAATAAATGCCGTCTAGGCGACCATGAAGGAAAACAAATTTGAAAAATATCAGATTTATGCAACCCAAATCCGTCCCTGACTGTACTTCTGGTGTTTTATCGTCGACGGAGACACTCGCCGTGCTTCAACGATCTACCAACTCCAGAGACGACAAAAGCAAGCGTATGCGTATAAACAAATTGCGAAAGTGACGTCCTTGGACGTTGTTCATCAACATGGCGGAACGCAGCTGAACGCAAGGGAAAAGGCGTTTCCTTGAACCGGCCATTAAAGAATGGACACGTCTGCTGCACCAGCGTTCTGCTATAACTTGTGTTTTCCCTGATCGAGAACGAGTCCCGGCACTCGACCTGACGAGAAAGGGAGATAAACACAACTCATAAAACGTCGAGATTTTTTATTGTTCGTGGCTTTCCTTCACCTCTGACGTCTATCTGCTGCGCCAGGGAAATAAACGTGGACAATGTTGATTTCGGCTTGGCCTCAGAATTGTTTTCCAGATAACGGTTTGCTTTCGAACTTTTGCAGGCGCCGACGTGAGAGCGGAGGACGGCATCTACTCTGCGTTTTTCTCGGGTTTCAACCGTCCCGGTCGGTACTCTGTCGACGTCGAAGCCGCAGGGGACAGCAAAACACGACTCGGAGCTCTAAAAATGAATTCGGCAGCCAGTCGTCAAGGTGGGAAGAACGATACTTCTATAATAGGGAAATACTGTAGGTGGAGAAAGTGCCTCCAAAGCAGATCTTCTAAGTTCCTTTGAACCTGGAGCTTCGATGGCGGAGTGTGTCAGCCGGCATGGCGGTCGTCAATGGTTCATTCAAGATTGTAAATCAAGGGGGGGGGGGTAGTTTGTATGTAGTTTATGTATTTTATGTAGGAAACTCTGGGTTGTATAGACTACTTGAAGCGAGTGCCCGCGCTACATACTAAGGCTTGCTGTGGCACTAAATCATCTCGAGTTTTACTTTAATTTAGCTAGTTCTGACACAAACGGGTGTGTTGAGTGCAAATACCACTACTGCATGATACTCCCTCAATGAGCGTCGACAACGGTCTGTAATTTTTATATGAACTGTGTCAGGCAGAAAATTGGAGGATGGTCACTCAGCGAACAAATGATGGCCTCCAAATGCTTCATTTTACCCTTCTACGTATATTAAGAAATCTGTTTGCAAATAATATTGAATTTAAGAATCTAACCTAAGATTGGCGTTCAAATTTCTTTCCTTTCTAAGCATTGATGTTTCTTTTTTTCTTTTTTTGCACAGGTTTGGTTTAGGGATTTCGATCATTTTTCAGTTTGCTTTAATTTTTGGAGAAGTGACATTGACTTGTTCATTACCGTAACTGTTTTGTACGTTCAGTGATGCGTATTTCCTGCACGCTTGCATGCAGCTGACCATGATAGTTGATCGGGGTGAAGTTGTTCTTATTATTATCATTATAATTATTTTATTATATTATTATTATAATATTTATTTTAATAATAATATAATAATATTATAATAATAATATTAATAATAATATTATTATTACTTGCAACTCGATTGTGAGTAATTACACTAAAAATATTCTTTGATAAATTGTAAACAATTTGGTATGCTTTTATCATTGCAAAAGTAAATTATGCGTTGCCGAAAGTTCAGTATCCGTCGAAACTTAACGGTCCAGACCAGTGGCGTCACGAGGGTCAGCTGCACCCGGGGCGGTAGCCGGCCACGACACCCCCCCCCCCCCCCTTCCCCCCCCCCCCCCCCCCCCCACTCTCGTGGCCCGCCGCGACACCCCCCTGAGCGCTGCACCCAGGGCAATCCGCCCCCCCCGCCACCCCCCTTGTGAAACAACTGGTCCAGACCAGTTGCCAAAGTTTCAGAGCTTGTCGTCATCTGATTCGAAAGTTAAAAGCGACCAGGAAGTACCCGACTAAAAGTAGACTTCTTCGACGTGGGGCGCTGCTGTAAACATTCCTCGTCCATTCAAGTTGCACTTTCATCGAACTGCTGTCTGTAAAATGAGGCCGCGGTTCATATTAGCGTCAGCCTAGTTTTCTTTGATTGTGCCAGTGTATCTGAATGGATGACCAGCATCAGAATCCGGCAACCTTGTCTCCCAGGATGGAGCAGAGAGAAGAGAAGCGTAGGCATCGGCGATTACCCCGTCACCGAGTTTTCCAGATACGAGAATGCCGGTTCGTTCGTGGTCCACAAGCTTCAGCGAGCCATCGTCTATCCGCCGGCGTCGGTCAGAGACCTCCGAGTTGAGAGCGCATCCAGGGCAGAAAACGGAAGTCGTATTGTGACGATATCGTGGACATCGCCTGGAGCTCACCTTGACCAACACCTCTGTAAGATTCAGTTTAAAATGCATGCCTTATTTACGTTTTTCGTGACCAAGACGCCTCTTAGATACTGCCTAAGACGCATGTCTTGTACACGTTCGCTGTGGACAAGACTACTTAAAGGGATGCTGAACCATTCAACAATTCACACCGTGAATGGTGGATATGATGACGTCGATTTCGTTGCGTGTGCTTGCGCACACCGGCGGCTGCTTACTCATGGAAAGATAGTGCACCACTTATCAGAGACACTAAAATGTTCGGTTCAGCATCCCTTTAAAATGTAGTCTAAGGGGCACGTCTTGTATACGTTTTCTGTAAACAATATGCCTGTTAGATGCAGTCTAATGTGCATGTCTTGTACAGGTTTGTTGTTTCCATGACGTCCGTTAAATGCAGGTAAATTGTATGTCTTATACACGTTTACCATAACCAAGACGTCTTTACTACGGAATCTAGGATGCGTGTCTTGTACATGCTTTCTGTGACCAAGACGTCTGTAAACTGCAGTCTAAGAGACACGTCTTGCACATTTAAATACATTTCTTGTACTCGTTTGGAGTGATAAAGTCTGTAAAATTCGGTTTAAAATGCATGCCTTTTACAGGTTTTACGTAACCAAAACGTCTGAAAGATGCAAAAAAAAGTGCAAGCCTTGCAGATGTCTGTCGTTACCAAGGCACCTATAAGATTCAGTCGAAGGTGCATCTTCTGCACACGATTGCTGTGGTCAAGACGCATGTAAGATGCAGTCTAGAATGCCCCCCCCCCCCCCCCCCATATCTTGCACACATATATATATACACCGTGACCGAGACTTCAGTAAGATTCAGTCTATGATTCAGTCTTCTACATGTTTTGCCGTAATTAAGACGTCTGCAAGATGTGATTTATGATGAATGTCTTCTGCACGTTTTCTGTTACCAAGACGTTTGTAAGGTGCAATTTAAGATGCATGTCTTGTACATGTTTTCAGTTACCAAGAAATCTGAAGGATGTAGTCGAAAATGCAAGCGTTGTAAACGTTTGCTGTGACCAAGCCGTCTGTAAGATGAAGTCTAATATGCCTGCCTTGTTTACATATTTTTCGTGACCAAGACGTCAGTAAGATTCACTCTAAGGTGCATGTCTTGTCCACGTATGTCGTAATCAAGACGTCTGCAAGATGCAACTTAGATGCATGTCTTCTACACTTTGGCCGTGACAAAGATGTATGTACGATTAAGTCTAAAATGCATGTTTTGTACATGTCTCCATTTAACCAAGACGTCGGCAAAATGCAGTTTAAGGTGCGTGCCTTGTGCATTGATGGACAAAGAGCGTGTTGGTGCGGGTTAAGATAAAAAAATAAACATGTAGAACAAAGAGAACAAAACCACAGTTTTCAACTAGCAACGGACATATAGGAACTCGAAAAGAGAGCAACCGATTAGAGGCGGGAAAATCAAGGAAGAAGAAAGTCACTAAGAAGAAAGAAACGAGGGAATTGGCGCCGAAATAAAATACAAAGTCGGGTCGACAGTGTCATCTTTGATTTGAGAAATTCAACTTCAGTCTTCGTCACAAATAGTGATGGATTAGAAACGTTATTGTTTGCGTTGTTCATGGCGAATGACTCTATAATCTCTCGGCCATATCTGCACAGTCAAAAATTAAAATAAGTTTATGGCTTGATAAGAGAAGTTGGTGCTCCATTCTCTTGAGCTGCGGAAGCCGATACATAGGTCAGACTGGCTGGTGGACAAATGACCGACTCCGGGAACATTACACCGAAGTTTGCAAGGCCTCACTTGATTCCTATCATCACATAGTCATGCACACCCCTCCCTGCACAAACTGCAGACTCCGCTTTGAAGAGGCAAGAATCCTGAAGGGCCGGGGGGGGGGGGGGGTGGAGACTATGAGAGCAGATATGGAGGGGAAATTATAGAGCTGTCCGCCATGGGGGGGGGGGGGGGGGGGGGGGATAGCGCAAAGAACAATGTTCCTAATCCCTCACTCTTTTTGACGTAGAATAAAGTGGAATTTCTCAGATCAGAAATGACAATGTCCTCCTGACTTTACATTTCATCTTATTGTTTCTCCTCTCCTTCGTCTCTTTTTAGTTACTTTCCCTATCCTCGATTTTCCCGCTTTTAATCGGCTGCTCACTTTTTAAATTCCTATATATCCGTTGCTTGTTAAAAAATGTGTTTGTGTTGTCATGGTAATAAAACCCGAGTCTCAGGAACACAGAAGGGGACGTGTTGTGTTTTGTCCTTCATGTTCATTCTTTCTTTAATCTTGACCTTTTTAGACAATTGCCATGACCAAGATGTTTAAAAGATGCTGTCAAAGATGCGTCTTGAGCACATTTTCCGTTACCAAAACGCCTGTCAGATCCAGTCTGAGGTGCATGTTTTGTATACGCTTACCTTGAAAGAGAAACAACACAAAGACGACTAATGACAGGCACAAACATCGGTTTTGTTAAGGCCAGCTGCTTTTGTCATTTAATACACTTGATTCAAAAACTTTGCACAAGGTTGCTTTTATAACACTTAGACGCCCCTTCTCTTCATTGAAACACTCGAAGGCACTGTGAGCAAAAAAAAAATTACTACGTTTTATTGTACGATGTACCGCAACGGACGCTACGAGTCATCTTAGCCTATCCAGCGTTCAACGCGTGACATATGACTTTGTGATCTGCGCGTATATGTGCCCAACCGGAAGGTCACGTGACATGATACAACCTGTGGATTGGCTTCGTTTTCTAACCACGTCCGCTGCGGCATATCGTAAGGCAAAACGGAACATAGGAGGTTCGAAGTTTCATAACATTTTATCTACAGTGATCAAAAATGGATTGAGGGTTACATCTTAATGTTCCAACACATGGTTTATACACGGCATCCTTTTGTACGTTTCGCGGAATGAGAGTCAAATTATGGTAAGTGATGACATCACTGACTCGTTACTAACTCTCCAAAACTTGCAGTTTTATTTTCGTTATTTTCAGTATCCTACGAAGCACTTTGTGGTTTGCTTTTATTTTTTTGTAATTCATCGACTAAAACTAAGCTTTAGGTAATTGCCCTTATGCTAAAATGCCCTCGTATCACACTATCGGTTCTGCGGTACATAAAATGTTAAGAAAATACTGTGTTATGATGCTTTTAAAGGAACTCAATTACAACACACAACAATTAAATAACTTATATTAATATTAAACATAAAACTCGGGTCATTAATAGTTTTTTTACATTACAGATGTTGCAATACGTTCGTAGCATTTATTGGGCATTTCACGTGTTAAATAGAAATGCATATGTTTATTACATGGCTTGCACTGACGTCATATCGTCCATTTCGCACCACAATTGAAGAGAGAGAGAGAGGGGAAAGCTGCTTTTTGACACATTTTGAGTGACGGGTTAATATTCTAGAGGGAGAATAGCGAATTCTGGCCAAGTCTGGGATGCATAAAGGATTGAGTCCCGGTGAGAAGAAGGTTCCTTATTCCCCTTTTTTGGTTGCGGGAGATCTGACGGGATGACGTCAGGTGCAAGGCATCTATTAACTGTCTAGATTCCTTCAAGCACATATATTTTCTTGATGAACGAAGGACGGATTGGTGCGGGTCTAGATTGAAGAAAGAATAAACATGTGAGGCAACGACAATACAACCAAAAATATATGGTTATGTTGTCTTGTCCGTAGATATTTATTTTTCTTCAATCCTGACATGTATTTTCATCAGCATCATTCTATACATTGTCGCACTTAAAGGGAAGCTGAACACTTCTTGAAAAAAAAAAAAACGATTTAAGAGGTGAATTCTGGCGTATTTTTATCCCGTGAATCTGAATATTACGTTTGTTTTTCCAAGATTCTTTTCCCAGAAGACGTTACTAAAAGCAGGAAAACGCGAAAAACCTCCGACCAGTCGTGACGTCATACTGGGATCTTTGGGTTGCCAAGTGCATGACGCTCGTGTGGGCAGCGCGTCCAATTGCAAGCTTGCCAGATATATTTTTCCGCACTGACACGACACTAGCCGTGACGTCTCTTTCTGACCTTTTTGAAATTAGCAAGAGTGCGTGTGCATAGGTTTGACAGGCGCTGAAGATGCTTGAGAGCAGAGATTCCGAAAACTCTTAGTGTGACGTTACGCTGCGGGAAGGAGGGGCTTCGGCGGTACTTAAAAACGAATTTCTGCAGCCTCCGTACACCAAATTGAAAACTAATTTCAATATTTGTGATCCTAGAGGCCGAATGAAGGCCGTTGAAGTGTTTTTTTCTCAAATACAGACCCACTTCAGTTTCCTTTTAAACATTTCGCGAAACTTAAACCTCCGTGGAACGATTGTGAAATATTGTCCCACCGTGACACAGGTTTTGTCTGTGTGTGCGTGATTAACCCACGCATATAGAAAGAACACTTGTTAGATTTTTGTTTTCTAATAAGTGTTTTACATTGACAAAGTGTTCATTTTCACTTCTTTTGACTTTAGTAGGTAAACAATTCATTGCGAGTTTTTATTTAGCGTCAGCCTATAATTGACGCAATTTTAGCCCTTCTTGTGTAATTGAACTGGAACTCTATGGTCAAGCTCAGAAAAATAATATAAAAAAGACGTGTACCCACTACGAATGTTCAACACCAAAATTTAGTTCATAATTATTTTCACGGGAGCTTAAAGAAATAGAAAAATTATGAACGAACCACAAACATTTCTAATACCCAAGACTGAGGCTACAAAAAGGGTGCAAACACAAGATGTCTCAAAGTCCCCTTTTTGGAGCCCCCGGTCTTAGGTTTTAGAAATGTTTAACCTTAACCAGCTGGCCTGCCTTATTACGTTATCTTCACGAATCACAAGTAGGTTTTTAGTTATCACTCTATAAAGTTTATCGTTGTTTGGTTCTAAATAACGTCTTCTAGCCTAATTATTTACCTAAAAGTCTTAGCGCTGGTCCCCAGCATCAGTGCCAATCACTTTATGCTGCAGGCAGCCGACTTCAGGTGCACGCGAGCACTTCACCAAGCTCCCTGCTCATCATCCAAGGACAAAACGTCCACAATGTCTCCGAGTCAGACGTGACCGAAGGAACCCTGGTCCCCACCTCCCCAGGATCCCGGCAGGTCGTCACGTTCCTGCTCCCGACGACGTGGCTTCCGGTCAACGAGAGTGCCCACGACGTCTACTTCATCCTGTTCACCTGGAACCCTGAGGGCCTGCGGTCGAACCGCTCCAACTTGGCGACGGCAAACTTCCCGGACGCCCAAAAGGTCATGCAGAAAGACGTGCCCTTCTGGGACTGGTTCTCCAACTCCTCGACAGCCATGTACGGGTGCACGGTGCTGCTGGCGCTGGCGCTGGGCGGGGTCGTGTGCCTGCTGATCGTGTCCTGGCTGCGGACGAGAAGGAAGGGGGAGTACCCCGTGGCCGTGTTCAGGACGGCTCCCATGAAGGGCGACGTGGAGAGGGCGTGCCGCGTGAACCTTCTCAGTCGTACCTAGAGCCACTGCATACGCTACGTTCAGAGTAACGACACTCCATTTATTGCTTGTCTTGTGGGTGCCACCACTTTGGTGCCTAGTTGCCAGGGTTGCCGCCATTTTGTTGCTACAATTGGTGAAAGTGATTGGTAATTCGAAGACGCGACTTCCTGAGCGCAGGTTACGGTGGCAGTAAGTTCACACGATATCGTTTTGCTCAGTCGTGAACTGTTTTAACATTTTTGGAGCACGGACCGTTTTGTGCCGATATTTCTGATAAAGCTTCGAGTACCTGGCAGGTCGTCTGATTTTAAACCTCAAAAAGGCCGAAGTGCCGTTACTTTGACGCTTAGCGTATTTGGTGACCCAAGTTGTGTGTAGGACACACGAGAACTGTCAGTGTTTCTCCGCGACCTTGTGTGTCTGCACTGTGCCATCCTCACCTTCTAGTCTTCGGAACGTGCTAGTGATAGATTTAATTTATTTTATTATTGCCGGTTTGTATATTTTATTGCCCCGAGGTAGTGAGTAGGCGGCACTAAGGTCGGCTGCTGGTCAGCGCGGCTGGTGGTCAAATAGGGCAGCTTTAAGCAGTGAATGACGCCGAACGATTGGACGCGAGTGCTGCCTTACGGTTCGACAGATCACTCGGGTGCTTGAGCTAAGGTCGCAGGCTCTATTAAATTGACCTTGAAACATCCATGAGTTGGTTGGGAGAGTTCCACACTGGATTGCGCTACCTGCCCAAACAAACTGACTGAATTATACCTTTTGCTTCGATGCAAGTTATAGCACAAGTGAGACGGGATACAAGTAGACTACAAAGGCGATAGTCTCAGTAGGTATTCCACATGTTCGCTTCATTTTGGTATTGCAAGTCGGGACGTCATACTCTCATCCTTCAATTGAAATAAAATACATATTGAGAGCCTTTACGGGAGAGTTCAGTCATTCGTCAACGTCCGCAAAAATGCATTAGGGGCTTTTAGCAAACCGTTATCGTGGTGCGCGTATCACACTACCGGAGCCTTTAAATAATGCTTTTAAGCGCACGCCCGAGTGATACCATGATTGCGGGATTGCGAGCTTTAGAACGTGCTTCAAAGGCTCTGGTAGTACGGAACGCAGAACATGGTAACGGTTTCCTAAAAGTCCCTATTAAAGGGGTGATACAACGATTTTTGTACCCTGCGCAAATATCGCTTAAAACGGATCCCTGACGTTAAAAACCTGTGAAACACCCATTCGTTTTTCACTACAAATTGGACAAATACGAGCAGCGTTCAACCCCTCAACTCGCAACTAGAACAGGCAGCCACGTGGTCTGGAGCCGATTATATGGTGCAAATGTTGATCATAGCCACGCGCTGGGGGGTTGGAAATCGGCACAGGACACGCGCTGAGTTGCAAACATTGTTATGGTTCGGCTATTGTCGTTATTGCAGCGAATGAACACAGGCCACTACCCGAATGCTTGTCGAGCTATTGGTGATCCCTAGCTCAAATTGAGTGCCCACGCAATGCTCCGGTCTAATCTACGAGCCGAATTCAAACATCGTCACTAGAGGATACTGCGATCCCCCAGTTACGTCATCAAATTTCCGGAAGAAATTGAATGAAAACGGTTGTTTTTTTCTTTGAAATTAAACCTCAACAAAGAAGTTTCTTGGCCAGTGGCGTTGCGTACGAGTGTCCTTGAGTAATACTAGTGCCAATAAGCTCGTAAAAGTGAAAAACATGCCATTTGAATATCGTTGCACCGCCACTTTAACTTCTCATGGCCGCTCGCTTGCGCCTTCGGCAGGTGGTCATAAAGTATAACAATATTTGCTATTTGCTGAAGCGCAATTTCGGTGCTCTGGAAGTCCCTAGAGGCGTTTATTTTCTATAATATTGGAGGAAAGTAAATGGTGAATCTCTTATGATGGAACTGATATGTCGAAAGAGAAAAAAAGACAATTCAGTGATAATCTGCGAAGTCGCTAAGATTATAATGCAATTAAATGCAACAGTGAAAGCGGGCTGGACAAGCTGGACCAATTAAAACTTACTAATCAATTCAAACAAATTAAGTATCTTTACGTAGCAAAAAAGAAACCCCGGCGTTTGTGATGCTGCAATCATAAATAGTAAGAAAAAAAAAATTAAAAACTGTGAACAGGTAAAATATAAGACAATAAAAGACAACACACAATATCTACGTTGATTCGTTTTATTGCGTGTGCAGACTGCGAGATTTCAAAACGTTTGTTTGCAAAACGCAGTTAAAACCATGAAAAATTTAATTTTTGATCAACGCTAACTGCAAGTTCGCTCTGAGCATGCGACGGGTAGCAAGGGCTCAACTCTAGGCCATTTTCTTGTTGAGCCCTTTGCTCACGACACAACAACGCACGCTCAGAACAAGCTATAACTCATCGTGTGCAAAGATCAGTTATATTTTATTGACGCGAACACGTTAAGAAGGGATAGATCATTTGCCAAATTACTTAAAGGGTAACTCCGGTCAAAAGTCGAACCAAAATAAATGACTGATAATACACTAATGGGAAACCGAGATCCACAATAAAATCGGTATTAAAACTGCTTACACCAGCTTCTCAGCGGGAATTCAGCGGGTTGGCTGTTCGTCAAAGCAGCCTTGTTCCCCAGTGTCATGTTTGTACCCAAGGACGTTACTTGCTCGTACTGCCACTTAATTCGCCGCGTTTTCAGCCGTCCAACGGACGACTTCTCCCCGTTATTTTATGTTTTAGCCGCCGTAGTTTGTAAGTGCTACTCAGTGATCGCGCACGAAGCTTCTTGACTCCCTGCTTGCTCAAGCGCGTCCTGGTGCCGAAGGTGGAATTCACTAGCGGGCCAAGTTTGCTCTGTTCTTGCCCAGCGCGAGCTTACGATTAGCTTCCACAACGCTTTTGCAACGTGCATTACACACCTCCAAGACTGTAGCTCTATTATGAAGATCAGTGCGGGCTCGTTCTGCACCTACGCTGAGCCTGCGTTCATCGTGGCGAACTCGCTTTTCGGCCGGCAACTTTATAAATGTGCACTAGTATTTGCTACCCGTGTTTGACCAAGCAAAGTAAAACAGCTGTAGCATCTTACCTGACTGATCGAAAATGCTCTTGTGATTAAACCAGTCGTATGTTTTGCGGTAGCGCGGTGCTAACTTGGCGTCGCACAACGGCCATGCAGCTAATCGCAAAAAAAAAAAAAAAAATTAAAAAAATTACAGGGGTTATTTTTTAAAGACACTCTGAAAACATATTTATGCTCGCCGAGATTTTTAGTTGAACACGACCTATTCGCGGCGAGAATTTTGAGTATCGCCCCGCCTCGTAGAATTCTTTTCAACACCAAAAGTGAGGATACTTCACCTCTCTCTCCTGGTGCAAGAACATGTAATGCAAAGCATCTATGCACTATGGAAATTAAAACATAACCGTGTGGGTAGCACGTGTATTGCCCATAATGAGGTAGACCCGTTTATACAAACAACAAAATAACACGTCAACAGATCATCGGGCACTCTCCCGGGCGTATACGTCTCTGGGCTTTGTCGATTCAAGGAAAAACACGGGCGCAACCTTGCGAAACGGGTTCCATTAGTCAATATACTCGATGAAGATGAAGTTTAAGATTATTAAGATGATATAGATGAAGACGAAGAAGAAGATTCGCCCAACCCATAGCCACCCGTGGCCAAGGGACTGAGCTGGTCCCGCAACGTAAGGTGTATTATTTTTGTTCAAACTTGGTTAGAGTTTAAATTTGTTCAGTTTTCATATTTCTTTCGCTTCAGCAGCGAAAGAAATCTCTTCAGATCTTGGAAGGTAACACGTTTTGTTTTATTTAACATTAAAAAAAAACAAAACAAAAAAACCCGAAGTACTGAAATGTTGGAAAGAATGTGTGTCTTTCTCTGACGAAGGCAACCTAATACGTTTAATGGTTTCCGGCCACTGATAGGTTTTCAACACCTGGACAAAAGTATTCTTATTCACCGCCAGCGAAACGATGTCCAGATCGCATTTTAATTTCCACAATCGTCACTAGGCTTCAGATAGTTAATTTTAGATGGTTGAAATTGTGCGTGTTCATATTTTATATAATATACTGGCAAAGAATGTGGCGGCCCGTGTGTTTTGAGGGGCACCATACTTTAAAGATAGGAAAGAAAATATTCTAACCCAGGGATCTCCGACTCGATTTCTGCACGTGCCCCTTTCAATGTCAATGAGCATCGCACCGGCTTACGGTCTTGTAACACTGTTGTGTGATCACCAGGGCCGGATTAAGGTATAGGCTAACAGGGCTGCAGCCCTGGGCCCCAGGCTGTCAAGGGGTATTATTGCCATGGGGCCCCATGCTCCCAGGGGGCCGCGTGCTGACAAAACATTGCGTGCTAAACCTTAAAAAAAATTGTTGCTAGCAGCACAGGAGCTTCCGTGCCTTGGCCTTCTTAACAAGGAGACGGGGATCCCACGAAGTTCCCGCGTCTTGACTAGCTAATGTTTATAAGCTTGTTTATACAAGAGTGCGCCATAGGAACAAAATGTAACGCGGCCTCCCATCCCCTTGTCGGTGAGGGGCCAAGATGTCGACCCTGGCGGTCCCGTTGAAGTGGAAGAACGGACACATTGTTCTCTTTCGAACTGGTGCCACCTTGACGTGTTTTATAAACTGTGACATGCCAGACGTCAAGCGAGTGTTGCCAAGGACCAGTCCAGCAAAGCAAATAGTACACAATATCTTTGGTCTATGTTCAACTTTTTGGCGGGGTTCCATATAGAGATTCCTCCAAAACCACCAATTAAGAACAAGCAACTAGAAACATGTAGACCTTCTTGAGACACCTCCAGAACCGTAAATGGACATTTTAAGGAGCCGGTATATGACACGCCCCTCATCAGATTTCGATAGACACGTGGCTGCAAGCAACTGGAGTCGGTGTCTGATATGTGAGTGTCAGGGAACACCCTTCCTTCCACAGACTGATACGATCGCTGTAATGGTTTCAGCACCCTTTGAGGTATTACTTTTTTTTTTTACTTTTAGTGTTATACGTTCAAACGGCCAAAATGTTCTAAATTACTGTATTTAAAAAGAACAAGATTATTCCAGAAAATATATCGCAACATTCCCTCTTTCAAAAAGGCGCCATGTAGATACCAGGGTTCGAAGATATATCCTTTATTTTCCCAACGAATGCCTTGAATGTAAATATGCTCAAATGGCAAAGTGTTAAAATAACATGTAATTTAGCTTACGTTTTGACTTATTAATATTAGAAGGGGGGGGGGGGGAGGAAGTGGCCTGATTTTGGAAACATTGTTTCAACCACGAATATTTATTTCTTGCCTGGATTGCTTCCTTTACTGTAAACGTAAGACACAGAGCAACAAAGGGCTGGTTAGACAACTTCGCATCGTTCAAAGCAGTTACAAGAATAAGTGCTCTAAATTATCATGGCAGTTGTCGAGCTGCAAGGCGTGCCCTTTAGAAAAAAAGAAATATTTTTTATTCATATAATGATAATTTTACGGGTATCCTTTCGATTACTGCCTAATTCCTGTCTGAGCTATCACGCCACTCGACATGTTAGAGAGAAGGTCACCTTCCCTCAAAGTTGACATCCTTATAAATGTAAATATACTGGCCTAGATATATACTTTAGAAATCGAATTGCAGTTTTGGTAAGATGAGTTTATTAACGGAATCAACATTTTTACCTGAGTTCCCAGTTTGCGGCATGCCTCACCTCCAAGATGTTGGGTGGGAACGTAACTGCTGAATATTTTCCTTAGCTGTTAAGTTATTTTAATTTTGTACATCAATACTACTCTATGAAAGTGCTAGAGGGATCGATTATTTGAGTCAGTCTCTAATCAAAAGTCGCCTCGGCTTTGTTGTCAGCGAGGAAAACCTTTCCATT